GCTGGGCGCTGCAGTCCTGGGCCTAGGTGGGCATGTGGGGTGCCAGCTGCCCGCACACCCCCTAGGGGGCCTCTCAGGCCTTCCCGGCTCGCAGGGTGCAGACCCGGGCTCCCTCTCGGGTCCGAGTCCGGCTGCTCTCCAGGACTCCCGACTGGTCCCTCTGAGAGGCCCGCTGTCCTTGAACGCGGGCATGGTCCCAGTCCTTCCCAGGGGCCTGAAACAGGACACTGCCGGTCCGTCCGCACCCCCCCCCTGCCCCCCCGTGTCTCCCAGAGTCCCGATCCGGAAGTCGCAGTCTCCTCTCCACATCGTTGGCAGAACCCGCTCGGGTCACCAACTGAAAGGCACTGTGCGTGGGCATCACAGACATGGCGGCCCAGTGGGGTGGGCCCCTCCCACGAGGAGGAGGAAGGGCCGCTGGTTCCATTCCTGGGCCTGCGCTCGGGGTCAAGTCCCCAGTTGGGGGTCTGTGACGGGCTACTGACCGATGTTGCTCCCCTCCCTTCCCTCCTCTCCAAAAGTAAACAAAATCTTCAAAGGAGAAAAATATTTCCCTTCACCAATTTTTTTCCCACTCTACATACACCCCACTTGAGGTCTCCTGTTCGACCCAGACAGACAAACCCAGCCGATGGTGAGATTTTAGAATGAAAGACGAGATTTAGACACGAGGTGGAGACAGATGACAGACAAAACAGAAGAAAGTGTTTGTTTTTTAATAAACACAAAACCTGAGAGCAGAAAACCTCTGTTCACACGCATAAGATTGTAGTCCATCTACCTTGCAAATAAGATGATCACTGTGCTGAACAAAACCAGACGGTAAACCTAATGTAGCGTGGTTCACTCTGTGTTCTAAAACACGGTTTCGGCCCTGGCCGGGTGGCTGGTTTGGTCAGGGTGCCGTCCGTGGGCCGAGAGGTCCCAGTCGGGGCGCGGGTTTCGGGTTCAATCTCGTCGGGACGCAGGCGGGGAGGCAGCCGGTCCAGGTTTCTCTTACATCTATGATTCTCTCCCTTTCTCCTTCCCTCTCCCCTCTCTAAAAAGAAATAGTTTTTAAAAAAGTCAATAAACATATTCTCAGGTGAGGGTTTTTTAAAAACCCGTTTCAGCCCTGGCCCGAGTGGAGGCGGAGGTGAAGGCCTCGGGTTGAAGGGGTGCGGGAGCTGATTTCCTGTTACCTGCAGCCAGTAGCCCTGAGGGGCCACCGGGCGAAAGGTGGGGGGCTGCCCCTGGGCAGGAGGGGCGCCGTGAGTGGGCCTGGGTGGACACAGGGGGCGCTGTGACCTAGTGTCAGCCAGGCGGATGCCACCAGTCCCCTGCACCACAGGACAGAAACAAGCGGACCCCCTTAGTCCCCACAACAGGGAGGTGGGGCTGAGTTTGCCTGCAGGGTGCCCAGGTCACAACACGGGGTCCAGGCACGGGGAGGATGATGGGGTGGCCGGATAGCAACACTGTCCCCAGCCCCGGGTTTTGGGCAGACCCCTCTCCCTTCCACCTCCCTCCCGAAGTGCCCACTGCCAACCCAGAGTTCAAATCTCACCAGCTGTGCAACCCGGGGCCAGTCTCAACCCACTCTGCTTCCTGGGGGTGGGGGTGGGGGTGACAGCCACTTCCCGGGCTCTGCCGCACACGCGTCCTGTGCCTAATGGCGCTGGGCCACTCAGGATACAGACTGGCGGAACCAGGGCCCCCGTTCTGGCCCTCCCTCGGGCCTCTCCACGGGCAGCCAGGACCTCACCGCCCACCCACCCTGCCAGCCCTGTGGCTGCACCTGCCTGGGCCACGACAGGGCCTTTGGGGGTGACCAGCACAGCCAGTGTGCTCAGTGGGTGGGTCTCACTCCCAGCTGGCTTGGCCTGAACCCCCACCTGAGCCAGGTGACCTGGAAGGGCTGGGGCTGAAGGTGCCTGTGCTGGGGGTTCAGACAGGGGCACCCCAATTGTGAGCTGAGGGACCTCTGGGGACACATACAATGAGACCACCCACAGCCCTCGGCTCCAGCCTGGGGTGCACTGCCCTCCCCTCCCCAGGTGGGACCAGCCCAGGCTCCAGGATGGAGCGGCATGCGAACACACACACACACACACACACACACACACGCACACACACACACACACACACACACACACAGAGTCACTGGTCAGGAAGGGTTTATTAGGAGTCACCACAGTGACAACAGAACAGACACAGGGGCCTGGCCTGAGCCCCTGCCTGCCTGCTCTCGCCCACCTGTCAGAGGTCGGCGAAGTGCGGCACCGCCCCCCTTCCCCAGGTGCTTCCTGCACAGAGGGTCGTGTGCTCAACACCCAGAGGGGGCTGCCGCACGCGGCCCTCCAACTTGGTGAGTTGGTCAGTGGTTGTCCCGTGGCCAGTTCACAACGGAACTAAATAACTAAACTTGTTCCGAGACACCTGGGGGGGTTCTCCGGTAACAAAGGCATGTCCAACAAATGAGTCACTCTGCCACCAAGAGACAAGTGGCCCTGATAGTCCGGGGCACGTGGATGCGGTGGAGCTGCCCCTCCGGAGGATGGGGCTTCAGTCCAGGCCAGGCTGGCTGGCCCCAAAGGCGCTGTGCGGATCTCACTCCAGCAGTGCTCAGGGGCCGCCCCGGCAGCAGCAGCCAGATGACGGGGGTGTAGCCTGCTGGGGCTCCGCGAGAAACGCCTGCCGCTGCACCTGAATGCATGCCCCTGGCTGCTGCAGGGGGACAGGTCCCGGCAGCCTGGGAGACCTGTCCCTCTGTGTCTTCTCCGCAGCTGGTCCACGTCCAGGGGGCTTGCTTGGTGTCTCCCCAGCGAGGTCTGGGATGGGCTCCTGTCGCTGCTGCGTGAACCACAGGCCAGGAGGGGGAACTCTGGGTTCCCGGTAGTGCGGCCTTCGGTCCTCCGCCCATTCCCGCCCCCACGGCCCTCAGAGGGCGCCACCTCGGGGCCCAGACCTCAGTCCCCACACACTGGTACCTTTAGGAGAGGCCCCAAGACGGGGGAGCCGCTGGCTGCCCTGCCACCCCCGGGGCACCGCAGGGGGCAGTGGCTGGCCTGCTCAGAGAGGATACTTTTAGCTGGCACGCCTGCCCACTGCCAGCTCCTCAGCCGCAGGAGTGTCCCAGCACCACTGTGCCACAGCCAGGAGAAGGGCGCAGCGGTGGCCGGCGCACAGTCCTGCACCGTCCAGACCTGGGGCATCTCTCAAAGATCCTTGGTCTGCTTTGAGAGGGAACGATAAACACAAATCAGACCGTGGTCCCCTGACTCTGCCAAGTGCATCGCTGTCACTCAGCAGCCAGCCAGTCCCCGCCACACACGCTCCGCACACTGACCAGGGCCCACGAACGCTGGGGCCTCTACTGGGCCCCTGCAGGCCCGACCAGCCTGCCCACTGCCCACTCACAGGGCCCGGCCCGACCAATCAGGTGACCAGGCCGTGGAGGAACTGCATCCCCACCATGTCTGTCTGAGGTACAGGGTTAGAAAACACTCACCCCCCAAACCAGCCCACAAGCACATGGCGTAGCAAAACACTACGGCCAGGCACCCAAACGGCTTCACGACCTTTCACCCACCGGGCACGGGACTGCTCACTCGTGCGACGCCTTCCTCCACCTGCCGTTGCCACGGGGGCACGCGCACATGGGTCTCCAGTGTTGTCACTCTAATGGTGACTTCCGCCACGAACTTGGATGTCTGTTACCTCAGGTCGGGGCCACAGCCAGGGCTGCACCATCAGGGCCTGCGTGGGGCCAGGCCACGAGGGGGCTGGTGGGGACCCCCGGCAGGGTGTCGGGCTCATTTCCGATCTCGATTGCAGTCCCTCCTCGGCCAACCCCGTGTCTGCGTCCTCGCCGTCTTCAGTGTCAGGAGACCCTTGCAGGAGCAGGTGCAGGGCAAACCAGCGAAGAGGCTGTGACTTGGGTGGCCAGTGTGTGGCCCTGAGGCTGGGGGCTGGTGACACTGAAGGGCCGCAGGGCTTCTCACAGGGAGCACGTGGCTGGCCAGCAGCCGTCTGGGGCCGCAGCCCTCGAGGGGCCCCGTGGGCACAGGTGCCCAGCGCACACACCAGAGTGCTACCAGCGGCTCAGGCGCGGCACCACCAGAGGCTAGTCGAGTACATTAATCAGTCTTCCTTCAAATACACAGAAAATTTCAAGTAATTTATTTCAAAATGCTTAGTTTCATCTTGAAATATATATATATTTATATATATGTTTTAGAATGATCATATTGCAGCATGATTCTCATGCATTTTAAAGTACTTTATTAAAAAAAAAAACATCAACTTGAGGCAGCGAAGTGTTACAACTGTTGTTCTGTCCGGGGACGTGGGCCCCCTCCTGAGACTGGCCGGTGCCCACAGGCATGCAGAAGGAGGCCTTGCGGTGCAGACACAGCCTCGGCAGAGATGCCTGTTGCCCCAGAGTACAGGGGGGCTTCTGTGCCGAACATCCGGCACAGGGAGCCCCATTTGGGTGGACACCTTCCCCACTGTGTGGCCACTGTGATTCCAGTGTCCGGTGGGGGGCCAGGTGAAGAGGTCACAGGGTTCAGCAGTATCCAGCGTGGGTGCCGGACGTGTCCCACACAGAGGCGAGGCCGGCAGCAGCCTGGGGAGCGCCCGCCGGCACCGCTTCCCGGCAGGCGGTTGGAACACGAATCCAAGTGCAGTGCGAGTCCTCCCCGGGAGCCCGGGCGTGCACAGGGCCCGCCGCAGCGAGCCCACTGGCTCGGATGCCGCCCGGCCGCCCCGGCCAGCGGTGCCAGGGGTGACCCTTACAGATGGCCCTGTCCGCCCCAGCTTTGGACCGTGGCCGCTGTGGCGCCTGCGGCCCAGGGACGCACGGTCTGTCCGACTCGGAGAGGAGGAGGAGATGCTGTTAGTCTAAAAAAACAGTTTGGGGGAAAAGTCTTTTCTAAAATGATGACAAAGAAAAATACTCTCCCAAAGCTGCAGCACCAACAAAACGTGGCAAAACCCGCCAGACGTCCCAGTAGCTGAAGGCGTCCGGAGACAGAGCCGGGGGAGATCGTGCCGGCTGCTGGCCACGCCGCCTCATCTGAAGCGCCAGATGAGGTGTGGCCAAGGACAGCAGGGGTCTTGGGGGTTCAATTCTGCTTTAGAAAAAATCCTCTCTTTTCCTAAATTGCTTATGGTCTAGATTGTGAATCTGGCTTACAATTTAAAGAACATGCAGAATAATATACTTGCAGAATAAAAGAGTTGAAATTAAAAAGGTCTTTTTCAATTAAAAAAATTGAATGATTTTTAATTGTGGGAAAAGTGAACTGGTGTGGTGTTTCTGTGCAAACCGGCCCCGCCCTCGACGCTGCTCATCTGAGAAAGGTCAGGTCGGTGCGGCCGCTGGGGAAGCAGCCCCGCCGGCCCGGCGGCGTGTGTGCGCCCTGGGGGCTCGGCTCAGACCATGGACTCTGTCTCCACGGAGCCCTGCAGGCGCTCCTTCCGGGACAGCCTCAGCACAGTGGGCTTCTCGCCACTGCCTTCGCCCGTGGGCTGGGAAGACAGGCCTTTCTGCTCTTCCTTGGCCTCTTCCGACACCTCTGGGTAGATTACCAGGAACGTGGCTGTCAGGAAGCCCAGGAACGAGCCCACGGAGGCCACAATGGGGATGACACGCACCGTCCCCACGGCATCAACCACGCTCCCGAGGGCCGAGGCCACCAGGATCTGGGAGATGTACACCTGGCAGGAGAGGATGGCGCAGTCGATGCCGAAGCCGCGCCTGGAGTTCCCGGGGCTGTGCTGGACGTACTGCAGGGGAGAGAGCGCAGTGAGGGCGGGGTCTCCCCACTCCCCACAAGCCCACAGGCTGAAGGCGAGCTCAGAGTCTGGAAACAAGACCCTGCCTCACTCAGCAGCTGGGCAGCCCAGGGCCCCCATTGTGGGCTGCTTCCGCCCACTGTGCTGGAGGCCCTGGCCACGGCAACGGGACAGAAAGTGAGTAGCACGGGAGCCCGCCGCACACAGAGGGCTGACTGCGCATGCAGCCGGTCCCCAAGGACCCGGGGCCATGAGGACATGGCTGTGGGTGGGAAGGCTCCATGCCACCACGCTTTAACTCTGGGCAATGTGCCTGAGCTGACATTTGGGCAACAGGTGGCCATGAACAGTCCCCACGACCCCGAGGAGGAACCACAGTGATGAACCGAGTTTCATGTCTTCTTATAGAACTAGGTGAGACCGCCCTGGCTGCTGCGGCTCAGTGGCTTGGGCGTCATCGCACAAAGTTCGAGCCCCACTCGGGGCACATGCCTGGGTTGCGGGCCAAGTCCCTAGCTGAGGGCAGGCAAGAGGCAATTGGTGGATGTGTTTCTCACACATCAATGTTTTTCTATGTAAGACGTTGTAAACTCTTACCCGAGTCTGTGACAAAGTGCCACTCACAGGGGCAGGCGGCTTTTGGATGTGGGGACAAGGGCACACTCCCCATCTTGGGCTGATGATGGGAAACCCATCCCAGAAAGGTGCAGACCGAGGGCGGACGTGCACAGGCCCTGGGCCAGCAGCCCCCTGCAGCAGGGGCAGGGGCGAGGCCGGGCAGTGCAGCACACTGCAGGGGTGAAGACCCCCAGAGCCGGCCGGGGACCTCGGGGACGGGAGCGGCGCCGGGGAATGGCGGGGCCGACCCCTGGCCCGAGAAGCTGGACGATGCCTGTGTTTCTGTGGCTTGGTCTGCACTGGTTTTGTGTGTGAAGGTGGAAGTCCTCCCTCCCGAAAATCCACCCAGCCCACGGGTCACCCACGTTGTACTTTTCTGCAGTCTCGTCCTTCGACTCAAAGGCCGGTTTGAAGCATGATGCTGCACTGGACCTGCGTTAGCTCGGACTTTGGCAAGCGGCCACCCACAGCCAGCCGCTGGTTCCCGACCCTGTCCAAGAGCAGCAGGACCCACCGCCCACCGAGGGTTAGGAAGGGCCTGAGTGCGAGTGAGAAACTGTCTAAACCTGCACCGGGCCTGCCGCGCCCAGGAAAGCGGCCCGTGTGAACCAAGGGGCGCTGCAGCTGTGCCATGGACACTGAATTTTAAGGCCTCGGTGAGAATGCAGAGCGTCTCCATTTTGTATACTGGGCACATATAGAAATAATGCTGTTTTGGACGTACGGGGTTAAATAAGCCATCACAGCCGGTTTACCCTTCTTCCACTTTGTAGCTGTGACTGCTGCAGGTGTGCACTGGCCTCAGTCCACAGCGCCCTCCCCGGGCGCCTGTGTGTGTGTGCAGCCTGCAGGCAGGTGCCAGGTGGTCCGGGCGTGCCAGCAGCGGGTGGCTAATGGAGAACACTTGTGGCCACGGAGCCCGGGCCTTGGACTGACCCGGCAGGGGGCAGTTCTGCTGGCCCTCCAGGGCCCGCTCAGAACTGGAGACCCAGGGGACTGCGTGTGGCTTGACCGTCCCTGTGGCAGTGCGGAGTTCCCAGAGGGGAGCGAGTCGATAGCCTGGGGACGTGCACTGCTGGCAGGCGCCCCTGCCCGCGCCCCCACAGGGCAACCCCGCCAGGCCCCACGGTGGCAGACACACCTCCTTGACGTCGTGGTACTGCCCGAGCAGAGCGTAGGGGCAGTAGGAGATGCTCATGGACACGACGCCCATGGTGCTGATCATGGCCATGGCGACGTAGACGTTGGCAAACATGGCCATCACGGCCGTGCCCACGGAGAAGCCCAGTGTCCCCAGCACGTAGATGACCCTGATGCTCAGGTCGTAGTTGTCCAGGTACTTCTGTAGCAGGGCTGCAGAGAGAATGCGGCCACAGGGCAGTGACTGACGGGCAGGGGCATGAGCCTGGGCCCAGCCCCGCACTCGGCCTGCTCAGGAGCGGGCCAACGCCCCTCCTCCCCGGCCACGTCCAGGGACACCAGCACCTCTCCATCCTGGGCCTCGAAAGCGGGCCCCACCCTGCTGCTCCCCAGGACCTCCTTGCCCACAGGCAACCGTACCCGGTCCCGCCCAGTCGCCCAGGCCGGCTCAGTGGCCTCCTCTGGCCCTCTGCCAGTCCTGCCTTGGGGACTCAAGCTGCTCTGCTTCCCTGACGGGCAGCTCCTAGGGTCTGGAAGGGCAGAGCCCTGCTTGCCCTGCCTGACCTAGCAGTGGAACGATGCCCCCTCCAGGAGGCACCCAGACCTGCCCTGAGAACTCCTGTCCCAGCACCGGCAGCAGCATGACAGCCGTGCTGACTGCTGGCTGCCGGCAGCTTTGGGGCATTAACCTCAGCTGCCCTCTGGCCTAGGCCGGGCAACCAACGAAGTCGGCCAACACCCCATGGTTCTCGCAGACAGGCAGGCCCCGACTGCAATCACACCTCACTTCCAGAAGGTGAGCCCGGGCAAGTGGCCCCCAGGATGGAGCCTGTCAACATGCACCCCGTCCTCCAGGACGAAGCTGCATCTCCCGGGGAAGGCCTCTCCTGCACGGCCAGCTCCCCTGTAGCCCCCAGGACTGTGTGCCCTTCCCGGGCCCTGTGCCCTCCCCCCGCCTGCCTCCCCGAGGTGCCAAAGCGCCCCCTGGGCTCAGCTCCTGCATTCCCTGCCGCCACCTGGGCCCGACCCCAGCCGGGGACCCTCTGAGGACGCCCTGCAGGGGCCAGCACACAAACACGCCGCAGGATGCCCCACCCTGGTGTCAGGCTGCAGTGGCTTCCCTGAGACTAGGCCACTCGAGCCGCCGTGCCCCTGCCTGAGGGACGGCTGGCCCTGTTCAGTCAGGGAGCGTCCCCTTCTGGGAGGCAGGGTGCCCTCTGCCACATCTCCAGTCCCCGAGCACTTTCCAGAGAACCACTCACCTGAGCAGATCGCGCCGGTGGCTGCGTAAATGACCAGGCCCCAGCAGCCCATCTTCACACCAGCGTTGTAGGCCTGCCAGGAGGTCGAGTTGGAGGGGGCCTGTTCCGGAAACGAGACTGGGTTCAGGGGCGGGGCCCAGCACCACACCCTACGGTGCAGCGGGCTGTTTATTTTAAAGAGGGTGACAGACGCTGCATTGAAAGGACAGTCAGCCTTCTCCCAGGTCAACTCTGAGCAGGCATCTGCGGTGAGGCCACCTAGCCGGACCCAAGGCGACAGAGCCCCCGGTGTGAGCCAGTGGACACACGAGGCAGAGGCGTGGCCAGCAGAGGCCACCCACCTGCAGTAATGGGTGGCTGCTCTAAGACACTCGGTCTGGGGCTGTCTGGTGGGGCGGTAGAGAGCCAGGAGCACGTCTCTGTTCAGGCTCCTCAAGCGCCCGTCCAGTGACAGCCCCTGGAGCTCCTGACTGCTGACCTGGGACCGGGAGTAAACGGCCCCTAGGGTCACATGAGGGCCCTGCCATGTCCCCGGGTGTGTGCCAGCCACTGCCTGCCGAGAGCCACCTGACTGCATCGCACAGCTCTGGGGCTCCAGGAGGCAGCCTCAGGGCGCGGGGACCCCTCGCCCAGCCCCCAGCTCACCTTGGGGTCGCCCTTGAAGATGACCTGGCCCATGAAGTCGGTGTAGAAGACGGCCTCGGCGATGACAGAGAACCAGGTGAGCAGGTGGCAGAGGCAGAGCCGGGCCAGTGCGCGGGGCATCTTCAGCATGGACAGCCAGAGCAGCCGCACGGTGGTCTCGCCCTCACCCTCCTCGCTCTCCGTGTCCCCACTGGAGGTGGTGGCCCCGCTTTGGTTGCGGTGCCGACTCCGCTGCCGCTGCCACTTCTGCAGGTCGTACAAGTCGCTCATGCTGCGTGAGGGCTTGATCAGGACCACGGCATTGGCGCGCCGGTAGCGGTAGCGGTGGGAGCTGATCTTGCCGTAGTAGGAGAAGGTGCTGGAGGCCTGCCGGTGGAACGCGTGCCTGCGCCGCCGCACGGCACTGGACGCGGATGAGGGCTTCAGGTCCACCTGGGGGCAGCTGTGCAGGCCGTCCTTCAGGAGCGAGCCGCTGCCGCTGCCGTTGGGGACTTGGGATTCGTTCACGTGATTGTCCAGCAGCGTGGTGTCCTCTCTGGCGGGGTCCCTGAGCAGGGAGGGCAGACGGGGCAGCCTGGCCAAGGCCAGGTCCTGGCTGGTGCTGTGGGGGGTGCCGGGGCCCGAGGCGTCGTGGAAGATGGAGGGCTCGATGTCGTGCAGGAAGAGCAGCTCGGGCTCCAGGTCGAGCGCGGCGTCCGGCATGTGCAGCGCCGAGTCGCTCTTGCTGCGCGCCAGGCCCGTGTCCAGGCCGTCCAGCGGCAGCTCGTGCTCCGACTGCACCTCGTCGGGGAGCAGCGTGCGGCCGTCCCGGAGGCCGGGCTGCGGGGCGGCGGGTAGGGCGGCCTCCACGCCGCGGTCCTGCTGGGGGCAGTACTGTTCCTCCTCGATGCTGAACAGGTGCAGGGCCACCGACACAGTGAAGATGATGGCCGCGAAGAAGAACAGCACCTGGTTCTGTGTCCGGAACCAGGCGCCCAGGAACGTCTGCGTCCAGTCCAGCCCCCCCAGCACGTAGCCGACGGCCCCGCCGAGGCCTGAGCGGGGGAGGGGACAGCGCAGCCGTGAGCAGGCCGGCGCCTGGGGCCCAGATGGGCCAGGCAGACGGGCCAGGATGGACCCGTGAGGGCGTTCAGCCTCGTTGGGGCTGGGGCGGCCACCCACAGTCACGTCACGAGCTGGGACACCCGTGCGTGAAAGGGAGAGTGAGAAAACAGTAGAAAGGACAGAACAAGATGCTCCAGCCACCCCCGGGTTTGGGGTTCTAACCAAAGAGATTGCTGCCCAACAAATGAGGACGGAAGCGAGTCCCCCCAGGCTCCCCTGGGCACTGGTCACCGGCGCGGGCCCAGGGCGCGGGCGCTCCCGTTGGACGTGAAAGCTGTTGACCAGCACACCAGGTGCGGGGCTCGGCCAGCACGTCACCCCATCTCAACACCGGGCCCACTGGGTCAGGGTCCTGGCCCCTGCCTAGCCCACTGATGTGGGGCACAGAGGCGCACCCACCCCCCGCCCCGTTGGTGGTGCTGGGGTGAGGGGCGCACTCTCACCAGCAGAGAAGGCGTGGATGTTGAGGGCCATGTCCTGCTCCTCGCTGTCCACCACGTCCAGCAGGTAGGCGCGGATGGGCCCCTCAGTTGCATCGGCACTGAAATCCAGGACCACCACCCCCACCACGGTGAGGACGATGCCAACAGGCTGCCGGTTGGGGACATCGCCAAGGATCAGACCTGATGGGGCACAGGGGCGGGGGCAGAGGGGCTGTCAGACGCCAGCTCCGAAGGGCGGACGGCCACGTCCCAGAAGAAGGGCCACGTGCCGGCCACAGCCAGAAAGGGCACGCCCTCAGCACAAGAGTGGGCCGCCGCACCCCCACACCTGCAGCCCCAGGGCTGTTTTCTTCCCATGCACGCTGCCCACTGGTACCTCTGTGCTGTGCAACCAAACAGGGAAAGAGGGCCCTGCCTACCCAGGCTTCACAGGGCAGGAGGGTCCCCACGGGCAGCGTCAGTGAGAAAGGGGCAAGTGTGACGTACTCGGTCACACACAACACCCATGTGGACGTACACAATGCACGTGGGTTTCGACACCAGCCCCTAGGCCAGGGGCCTCTCGACGTGGAGTGCGTGTGCCGGCCTGGGGCCTGCGGGGATGCCCGGCCCTGTGCACAGGGGCACAGGCAAGGGGAGATGAGCACGGTTCTGTCCCCAGCCCACCCTGCACAGGCCTCTGTCCCCACACAGGCCCCGGGGGAGTGGAGAGAGGCCTCGCCCTCCGGGCTCCGGCCTCCCGGACCCGCCAGACTCTGGTCCCAGACTCTCGCAGACACGGCAAGCTCTCCTGTCTCAGAGCACAGGTTCAGCCTCCGTTTTAACAAGTCGCTGCCAGAAAACAATGGTTTGTTTTCAAACAGTTTTGATGGGCGCCCTCGGGGCAAAACTATTTTCCCACATTCAGCTGCTTTAATTGAAAACAAAGCAGAACAGAAAGGACCAACAACAAGAAAACAAGCAGGAGCAGGCTCTGGGCATCCTCCGTGCCAAGTGCGCGGAAAAGGGGACGATAACCCCTGGCGCTGCTGCAAACAGGAAGCACTTCCCTGCGAGCAGGCTCCCCGGGCTTTCCCACAGGGCTCGCTGCCGGCTGCCGAGTGCGTCCACCACGAGGCCACACTGAGCATGAGCAGCACTCCTGGGGGAGCTCCCCCCCAGCCCCCGTCAGATGAAAGCCCCCACAGCCCCTCCCCACACCCCCAGGGTGCCCGGCGCGACGGGGCCCACTCACCAATGGCAGAGCCGTTGAGGAACAGCGCCACGCCGAACAGCACGCCCACGCAGAGGGCGAGGATGAACGGCCGCCGGCGGCCCCAGCTCAGGGTGCAGCGGTCACTCGCGGAGCCGATGAGGGGCGTGAAGATGAGCCCGAGGATGGGGCTCAGGAACCAGGTGAGACTGTAGTACTGCTCCGGGAGGCCTGCGACAGACGTGGCGTCAGCCCTGGGGACAGGGTGCTGTTGGGGGCCCGCACACGCCCGATGGCCAGACACCCGTCAGGGCAGAAGGTCCCACCTATGAGGCTGGCGACGGAACCAGCTGGAAGCCCTCGTGCCCACGGACGGAGGGGAAGTGAAAGCTGTACCTGGGTCCTGCGGTGAGGACCGGGGAGCCCCAGGGCTCAGGCCAGGGCTGCCCGAATCCAAAGTCCCCGTGGCACCACCCCCAACGCTGGCACTCTGCCACACAGACCCAGTGCCCACAAGGGGAAGGGAACAGGAGTCTCGGGCCTTCGCCCACTGAGCCTCCACAGAGCCATGGGACGGACAGGCCACTGCCACTCAGCTGCAGGGCTTCATCTCCGGCACGGGCGGCGGAGACGAGCTCGGGTACGTGACTTGCAGATGGGCCAACAGGGTCTCTGCTGGTGGAAGCCAGGGGCCTCTGGGCTGCCACGCTCCCTTCCTGACCTGGGTGGGGAGCCCCAGTGACAACGCAGCCATTCCTGCACCCCTGGGTGCCACGCCTCAGGGCAGGCTGACTCGGAAAACAGGGTGCTTCGGCACACCAGAGCTCGCCTGGCTGACGCTCCGGCAAAAGGCACTGAGAAACGGAACAGCGTGCTGACTGCGACGGGCCAGTGTCGGAGGAGGAAGTCACTGCCAGAGGAGGGGAGCACTTTTCAAAACCGCTAACCTGCGCATGGAAACATCTGCGTGTCCCGTCCAGAAGCCGAGCAGCCGCCGGCCACCCGTGGCACGGACCCGCGGCAGGCTGGGTTCCGAGGCCGGGTCACCAGCAGGATGCAGCGGGGCGGGGCCCTGCCAGCCACCCTGACCCTGCCCACGCCGAGGGAGCCTGTTGGGGCCATGCACTGCATTTCTCACAGATGACTACGCAGCCAAAGTGCCAGGAGAAGTGAAGAGACTCCTACTTCAGCTGGGATTTTGAAAGACAGCCCCATTTCACTAACATGTGCTAGTGAGCGTGCAGACAGGTGGCTCTCAGCCTTCACGACGCGCCCGTGCGCACAGAGGCTCCGGCCACGGCAGCCCTCCCCTCAGTCCCGGCCTGCCTGCTGTAGGCCCAGGCCAGTCATTGCCACGGCTGGGATGGGGCACAGCGGCTTCAGGGCCTGTGCCACCAGAGCTGTCTGTGACCCCGCCCTCACCGCACCCACACAGCCAGGAAGCACCCCGGAGGCTCTGCGTCCCGGGGAGTAACTGACCCTGACACAACGCCACCTGGGGTCCTGAGTGCCTGGGGCCTTGGGGACACAACAGGGCCCACCCTGCTCTCTCAGCTCACTACTTACTACCGACCTCACCCCCTGCGCTAGCCAGTACGGGACACGCCGGGGTCTGGCCCAACACAAAGCCTGTGCCCTTACCCAGGACATGCTATGACATAAATGCACATCGACCAGCTGGCCGTGCGGGGGACAAGAAGAAAGTCACCCCCACTGGGGGCACTGGGGGACAATGTGGCTCCGCCCCTCCGTGAGAGGGCGTAGCACACAGCGCAGTGGATGCTGCAGCCAGGCGGCCGCCACAGGCCCCCGAGAAGCCTGGCAGCACCGGGAGCAAGGAGAGCAGTGGCAGCCCCGTGCTGGGCTTCTCAGGCCCTGGGCAGTACGCGCTGCATGGAGCGACGGTGCTGGCGGGCCTCTGCACAGGCAGGCTCCGTCACACGTGCTGTGCCCATAGTGACTTCGCAGCAGGTGGCAGGAGTGGGGGCACGTGTGGGGAATACAGGACACCCTGTGCTCAGGGCGCGTCCCCAAGGACGAGAGGCCCGCAGAGACCCACAGAGACCCAGAGCTGGACAGGCCGGGGCCAGTCGGGGAGCCAGCTGGGGGCCGAGGCAGCCTCTGCCTCTTCTCCTTCCCAGCTCTCCAGACGCCAGCGCTGGGCCGCAGAGAGGCCACAGCCGCCAGGACGGGGCCTGCGCCTGGGCTAAGCGGTCCCAGGTGTGGGACCTGCTGAGGCAGTGGCCCGGCCCCACCCATGAGGGTACCCTGAGCTGGACACAGCACAGAAACAAGGGGTGACGACTGTCTTTGTCTGAGAAAACTGGTGAGGAAAGGAACCGTTTCCCATCACGTCCCCAGCGCTCTAGCTGTGAGCAGGCGCAACTGGACTCCAGGGCAGGGGCACAGTCCCGGCCCGCAAGGCTGCCCCTGGGACGCAGCAGGCACGGCCTTTCCCAGGCTCCAAACAAACACCACGGACGCAGTAAATAATTTTTGTTTTCCTCCAGGCGTGAGCGGAGCAACAATGGTGGGACCAGGATGGCTCCCGCCCACAGGAAGTGCTCAGTGTGTCACCGCTTGTCCCAGGACTGTGTGAGGTCACAGCGGTGGCGGCCACGCTCAGTCACTCTCGATGGCTTCCATTCAACAGGACGTCTTTCTCTGATTAACTGCACTTCTGGGGGGCACGTTCTGGGGGAGCGGGGGCGGAGCACTGCCTGGGTGCGTCCCACAAAGCCCCGCAGTGGAAACGGCCTCGAGCTAGCTCAGCAGACCCAGCCTCCCTCCCACGGACAAATGCCGTGCCCTTGGGCCGTGCCTTTTAGCGCTGGTCTCTGGAGAACTGGCTCTCTCAGTGGACATCGCTCCAGAGCCTCGCCAACCTGTGGAGACTTCAAGTCATGGAACCCTGCAGGGAACCCCACCTGAAGTGGCCCCACTGAGCACCAGATGTGGAAAAGACACAGTCCCTGTCCCCCAGACATGCATGGGCCCCCGGAGGGAGACAAGGACTGGTTGCTCAAGGGGTAGGGCCACAGGAAAGGGCACCCTGAGCAGGAGTGGTCTGTCTGCACAGGGCCAAGAGGGGTAGATGACACCTCCAGCTGGAGGCAGGCCAGAGAGCTGCAAGGAATGTTCCAGAATCCCAGAGCCACAGGAAGTAGGAAGGAGGGATGCAAAGGAAGGGGAGGGAGCGAGGGTGCTTTTTCTGGGGCTGCACAGGGAACAGCAATCCCTCACCACGCTGTGGGAAGGAGCGGGAAGGAGCGGGAACTCGCCTGGGGCCAGGGCTGGCAGGATTAACCCCGGCATGTGGGCGCCCTACTGTGCTCCCCAAAAGCCGGTGCATCACAGTGATAACGAGCAGGAGAGGCAATGGAAGGTCTGGTCCCCTGGTGTCTGGGGAAAAGACACAGGCAGGGCCATTTGCTGTTGTGGCCCCATTTGCTGAGCAGGCCTGTGACCTTGTGAAACATGACAGCCATTTGACTCTTCTGAGCTTGTCCCCAGCACTGGAAAGGACCAGAAAGGACTGGAAAGGACCGGAAAGCAAGGACAGAACCGACCACTCCTGACAGCCACAGGCGGAAGGTAACATCGAACAGCCTGCAGCCTTGGCTCCCCCCCCCCCCGCCGCCCCCCCCCCCCCACTTTTAATCCGATTACAACCCAGCAGAGGCTCGGAGGCCTGCCCCTCAGAGCTGGTGCAGGCGCACACCCCCTGGGGGGGACCTGGTGGGGGAGGGCAATTACTCTGGATGGAGGCGGCTGTTCAGACATGGGCCATCAAACTGACCACAGGCTCCATGGGCCAATTCCAGCAGACACCGAAGGCCTCTTCTCTGGTAAAAGCTCCCCCGTGCCCGACACTGGCCCTGAGGCCGGGCCTGGTCTCGGGGGATTGACTGGGCGGGGCCACCGCCAGCCCTACACCAGGCTCCCCGGCGTCCTGGCCCTGTTTTTAAGTGAGGGGGAGGAGCCTCAAACACCCAGCTGAGCGCTTGCCTGCCCCTGGGGTGCCTGGCTCCAAGTGACCCGCACAGGCCATGGCCTCGTGAGGGAGAAGGACAGACCCCAACACCTTCCTGTCTCTATTTAGACCCCGGCTCGTGCCATTGGCTCCTGCCATTGGCTCCTGCCAGTGCTTTGCACACAGGCTTTCCCACCTTCCCCAAAGACAGTCCTCACTGTGCCATGTTCCTAGGGTGGGAGGGCACCTAGAAGGGGCCTCACAAGGTCATCTGCAACAGTGAGGTGGCCAAGGACACCACTGGACAGAAGCAGTGGACACAGGTCTTGGTCTGGAAAGGAGCAGCAAGATCAAAGAGCCGAGCGAGAGGCCGACCGGAGGGTGGCTGACTCCTGAACAAAGTGGGGTTCCCAAGGTGGCGACCTGGCATGGCAGTGCATGAGGCCGCACGAGCAGCGGAGCACGGCCAGGAGGGCCCGCACCACCTCCCGAGGGCCTGCCTCACACCCTGTCAGTGCACAGGGCAGAGGTGACCAAACAGGGCTCAGACCCACTCACTCAGGAAGGCCACACTCCCAGCCCAGGACACTGTGCCAGGCTCAGCTCTGGCCCTCCCTCCCAGCCAGTGGGACGGGCTGTCCTGTCTGGCTGAGTATGTGTACCTCCCCGAGACGCTGCTCAGCCCAGGGGACAGAGGCTGTGTCATCACCTGCGGCTCCTGGTGCACCACGCCCCGCCCGTGGGTGCGAGCGAAGGCCGGGTCTGGGCCGCAGGAGGAGGGCTGGGCCTGCCCCGGGGCCTGAGCCTGTGCCTCACACCTGCAGGCGGACCTCCAGCAGCCGGACTGACAGGAAGTCGGCGAGGAAAGAGCCTGTTCTGCTCACAGGCTGCTCCCTGTGCATTCAGGGGAACCGGTCAGGAGTGGGAGGCACAGGGTGGGATGAAGTGAGGGTGTCAGACTGCAGATGGGCCCAGATCTCCAGGCCAGGAAAGAAGGGGGCACATAGCTGCTGAGGCAAAGCACCTTCCGCCCGGCCCGGTGGGTCAGCACCAGGACTCACAGTGACAGCACGACAGAGTGGGGGCGGGTGTGCACCTCCCCCGGCTGGCGAGGGCCCCGCCCGCAGCAGTGCCCCGTGACGGGCGCCTCCGCCTCGCCCCACCCACTGCGCAGGCAGGTGTCGGGCCCGGACCACCTCGAACAGACACACCGACCTCCTTCCCCGTTTCCCTCCTGCGCACTGCCCCCACCTGGGCC